ATATAGAGAAAATGCAGGAAATAAAATTCCAAATAACAAAATTAATAAAATCATAAACGAAATACGTCATTTATTATTTAATTAAATTTTATGCCCTTTCTAAAACGCATCAAATATTAGAAAATTCCACAAATACTTCAAAAACTTTTTCTATAGAAAATCCTTCCCAAAGTTTTATTTTCGTATTAGATTTTAACACTATATCAGAAAAACAATATTCTCATTTTATTTTTGAACTTATATTATCTCCTATTAGATTTTAATAATATAATTCTAAAGAAGAAACTGGTTTTGTCGGTTTATAGAATGAAGGATAAACTTGCTATATGAATTCTTTACTTTAAACCCTTTTTCATTTAAAGTCTTTTGTAAAATTAGTCTATTCGATACCTTCAGAGAAGGAAAATGAGCCCAAATTTCCGAATTCTTTATAATAGTTATTTTTTTAATTATAAAATATGCATTTTTCAGTCAAAACATCTGAATTATTAAAAAGTTTTGCTTGGGAAAAATCTAAGATTTGGATGTAATAAGATGTTTAGGAGTTTTCCTGTTTATTTATTGATTATTTGGAATAAAGAGCAGAAAAAATAGCCGATTTAAAAGGTTAGATTAAGAATATTTTCCAAGGATAAATTTAAAGTTAGATTTAGTGTATTAATATTAAATATGAAAGTGTTTCTAATGAAAGCTTTTTTGATATTTCCTTACATGTTAAAGGATAAAAGGATATTTATAGCTCCCTTGATTTTTTTATTTAAAAAGAATACCTTAAAGGGGAGAATAAATATGATACTGGTAACAAATATATTACTAAATAAGAAGCTAAAAAAGGAATAAAATTACTAACATTGCCACCTGTTCTTTTTTTTCATTTAAAAAGGTTTGAGTTTGACTATAGTATTAATAAAAATATTAAAATAACAGATAAATATGAATATTATGAAACCATTTATCTTGAGAAATACATGGCTATTGTTAATGATTAAGCATGTTATACTTATAAGCTTTTTGCAGTCCTTGTACATTAGGGAGAATCTTCACTTTCTGGACATTATTATGTATATATTAGACCTAATATGAATACAAATAATAGCAATTGGTTTAAATTTAATGATGCAATAGTTGAAAATGCGACCTAAAAACAGGTAGTGTATGCTTTTTTTTTAAAAAAAAATAATTTTTTTTATATAATTAACTTTTTTTTTTTTTATAATAATAAAAAAAAAGGTATTTGATAATAGTTTTGGAGGAAAATGCTTTTATTAATAATTCGATAAAAACAAAAAGGTTTTTGTATAAGAAAATATGTAAATTAATTCCACTGCATATATGTTAGTTTATATAAACGAAAAAGAAATTAATAACATTTTTACTTAAATTCCTTCTAAAGTTATTCCTTAATGGATTTTAGAGAACGAAGAATATTCTAAAAAATTATAAATTTAATAATAAAGATACAAAGAGTAAATTAATATATTTATATATTGCTTTTTAGCACAGTTTATTTATTCTGTACTTTTTTAAAAAAATAAAAAATATAATTATAAATTAATATTTATTATTTAACTTTTTTTATATATTAGAATAATAGAAGTAAGAATAACTACATTTGAATTGTTAAAATAACAAGATAATCCATGTGGAGTTCTTTTCTAGAAAAAAGTCGAGAATGAATAAAATATATAGTATGATGAAAATTTGACATTAAAATATGAAGTCAGTAAAGGAATTACATTTAAATAATTTCATGAAAAACTCTGTGAATAAATAGGTGTTTAGAATGAAGATATATGTTTATGGAGAATCGAATATACATAAAATAATTAAGAAAAAATAATTAATCATACATAAAAAATATCTACTTCCGGTGGAATTAATTTCGATAAGGTTTATTTAGAAAACAATTAAAATAATAAAAACTAACCAGTGTATTTAATATTACCTGTTAATTCTGATAAATTCCTCAATAAGCCTTTTATTTTATTTGATAATAAAACAAATAAACTCGAGTTTGCGAAATTAAAAGAAAATAATAATATATAAAATTTAAACAATATTTTATAATATAATAACAATAAAAAAAACAACAATACACATAATGATTGGTAGAAATATTTTTCTTTACAAAATATTAACTAAATATTAGTTTTGATTAAAGTATTTTAAGGAAATAAATAAAATATTAAATTTTTTAAATACATCTTTTATAAAAAAACTGCTTTATTTATGAATTTAAAAAAAGAAATAATTTCCAACTTCAATTATATGTTAGAAAATTATGAATTTTATAAGGAATAAAACTACTAAATAAATAAATTAAACGATTCGCATAATTTAAAGTAAATCAAAGACGTTTTTAACTCTACTGACTGCGGAGTACTTGTACTCTATTTAAAAGCTAAAAACATGAATAATAATAATAATGTTTCTAGCAAAATACTTTCTATTGAAGAATTTTATGAAAATCTAGATTAGTAATCTTTAGTAATATTACATTACTAAAATAATAATAATAATTCATCTTTTAAATTTTCGCTATAACCTATAAAAGTGGTTTTAAATAAAGAAGTTACTTATAATCAAATCCAACTTTTGGTATATAAAAATATAAAAGAGTAATTATAAAAAAGTTCTTTGAAATTTTCGGAAGAGGAAAAAGAAGAAAACCAACATGAATATATATATTTAAAAGGGAAATATAGAAATAAAAAATAAGACGATGAAATAATACCATTCTATACTTAATAAAATCAAGAAACATAAATAAAAGACATATAAAAATGGCAAGCAAACACTATTTTTTTAAAATTCGAAATCTAAAATTAAATAAAGGCAAAATATACTAATTTAAAAATGGTAATTTATTATTCTTTCTATTCAAATAAAAATAATAGTTTATAAAATCCTAAAAGCTTAATAATTTCTAAAACAGAAACTGTCTCTTCCTTTATTAATATTTTAAAACACTAAAATGTGTTTTAGGAATTTTTAAAAAATGAGATTTCTGAATTTTCACAGTCTTCTTAAAATTTTCAAGTAAAAATCTGCTCTATTTCGAAGGAAAATCCATATCGATTTGACCAATATTACCTAGAATAGACTAAAATGATTAATATAAAATAAAACATAAGGGTAGAAATATTCATTAATGAATATCACAAAAATTAATAAGGAATAATTACTCTAATATGCCATCATACGACAAAAAATGGATAAGAATGCTTCGAAAATCCATTTGGTATATAAATTTGTATATAGGAAAAGTTTAAAACACTAAAAACAATTATTTTAAATTATTTGTCAAATAAAATTCTATTTTATGAAGGAAAAAAAATAGATTTCTAAGATAATCAAATAGCTTTATTTTTATAATCAGATTATTCGAAATATAATTGTAAACCTATACTTGTTGATGAATGTTTATATAAATCTATCGTTTAAGAAATGGATTATGAAGCTATACATAATAATTAAGCTTATTTAGAAATTCAGCACTTAAATTTGATTTCTTCTTCAAACTATAAAGGAATTAAATTTTAACTAAAATGAATATAATTTTAAAATAGTATATATATGTATATATATGTATATATATATATATATATATATATAAATATATATATTTAATTATTATATTTATTTAATTTTTTGTAATAAATATAATTTTATATTATATCTATACATATTTTTACTTTTTAATTTATTTTATTATTATTATATCTATAAATATATTCATTTGTTTTTTATTAAAAAAAAAATATTTTCTTGTCTTTTTTAATATTTTTTTTATTTATTTTTTATATTTTTACACTTAATATTATATTTTTATTTTTTTTAAAGAAATGAAAAATTTAATCTATTTTTCTTATAGATTCTATTATTTAAATTGATAAGATTTTTACTATTTTATACAAACATAGAATATAGATAAACATAAACTGCTACCAATATGTTTACTTCGTTTATAATGTATCTAAAAATAATAAAAATAAATAAATTGTGATAATCTATTAATATTTCTATATCATCCGTTATTAATTTTTATAAATTATATAATATAAAAATAGCCTCATTAAATAATTATTTTCAAAATAGGTTTATAAATTAAAAATGAATGTATAATAACATAATAAATAATTTATAAAATTAAAATTATATACGAAATATATGCAAAAACAAAATTTATTTAAAATAATGAAAAATAAAAAAATTCTTCAAAAAATATTTTAAAATAATTAAAAAATAAAATATAAATTATTCTAACATAATATTAAATGAATAAAAATATTATTTTTAATTGAAAATTAAATAGATAAAACCTATTGAAAAAAGATTGTATTAATTTTAAAAATAAATACTATTATCTTACAGAATTTTATATTTTTTAAAAATTTATTTATAAAATTTGTATATATTATAAAAAAAATATATTAATAAATATTATTAATTTATAATATGAAAATTTATATATTAGTATATATAAATATAAAATAATATATTATTATATTATATTTATTTATTTATTTAAATTATATATATATTTTTTTTGTTATTATTACATTGTATTAATACACTTTTTTTAATTTGTTTAAATTTTTTTCATCTTTAAAATAAAATCATATATTAAATATATTCTATTAAATTTAATATATCATTAATTTTTTTAAATATTCTTAATTATTTAACTAAATATAAATTAATTTAATTATTAATCATTTAAATTATAATTTAATACATTATTTATTTCTTTATTAAAAATTTTACAGACACTATTTTTATTAATTTTCTTTTTAAAAATTAATTTATTCTTATCTTTTTTTGATTTATTTTTTTAAATTAATTAAAAATGTAATTAAAAGGATTTATCTTTAAATAATATATATTTAATAACTATATTTTAATGAATTCTCTATATATCTATAATTAAGAGTTACATAAAATCTATTTATAATATATATCACATTAAATTTTTAAAATAATATAGAATTCATATAAAAATTTACAAAGAAACATAATTCTTTATTATATATGTTTTTTTCATTATTTAAACTTATTATATAATTCTTCCACTTATTCACTTTTTGGCATCGAAGGCATTGCCCCGTATTACGTAATACATAAAAATGCAGCCGTATTTGCATAAAGAAGGCATTATTTAAACACTTACTAATCAATTAATTTTTATTTTTAACTATAATCTATCATATTATACACAAAAAGACTGCTGTAAAGCAATCTCCTGCACCTACAGTATCTAATAAATAAAATAATAAATAAATATATATATATATATAAATATATATATATATATATATATATATATATATATATATATATATTAAATATTATTGCCTTTAATAGTATATTTATCGAGTATTTTTTTATCTAATTAAGTAATAGAAGGAACTTCTATTTAAATATTTTCTGAAATAACCTCACTTCCATCACTTCCTTTTTTCAAAACAACTACTAAGTCTTTATATTTTCTAATAATTTACTCCCTAATTTCCTATGTAGAAATTTCTTTTTTTTCCCAACCCAAAATGCTTTACAATTCAGTCGAATTTGGGGAAATAAAATCTAAATTTTTCATTAAATTTTCAGGTATTTTCTCATCAGTCCCCCCGCAATCTAGCATGACTATCTTTTAGTATTTTTTCGCAAATTGAGCTGCCAAAGTGCTTATTTTTAAAGGAATTTCTTTCTAAAGAAGCAAAAATCTACTCTAAAGAATTGCCTTTTAGTATTCTAAAGGTAAAGAGTCTTCGCTTTCATAAAATGTATTGGCACCTCCTACTATTATAATACTATTTTCACCCTTTTCAGTCAATGTAATTATAGCTTAACCTGTTTAAACGCCTTCTAATAATCTAATATTTCCTGTTTCAACCATATTTCCTTGCATTTCATGTACTAAGTTTTATCCATAGACATCTTTTCCGAATTAACCTGCAAATATTGTCGATGAACCCAATTTAGAAGCCGCTACAGCTTGATTGGCACCTTTTCCTCCGTTTTTTATGTATGATTTTTTAGCAGGCATTGTCTCTCCTTCTACAGGAAAACGAGGAACAATTAAGAAAAGGTCAAAACTACCTGAACAAATAACACATATAGAATATTTATTGATCTCCATAATATTTTTTTTAATATTATATATCTTAATATAATTATTAATTAAATAAAGTTTAAGTAAAAATAAAAAGAAAAAAAAAAAAATCGAATATAATATTTTTATATTAATAAAATATAAAACAATATATAATATATATATATATATATATATATATATATATTTTTATATATGTTTATCATGATTATTAGATCTTAATTATATATATAATCTTTTTATTTTTATGTTAATCAAGGTTTACTTGATATTTTTTTATTGAAAAAAATAATAAATAAAAGCGTTAAAATCCATAAATGATATATAATTTGAGAAATCTTCTAAAATTTTAGTATTTTGGTATTTTTTCAAATATTTTAATATAATTAAAAAAAATTAACTAAACATTGCTGTAAGAAAAGCTACAAAAAACGTATTTTTTATTAAAAAAAATTATATATTTAGTTTCTAATTTTACCCAAAAATTATATAATATAAGTTGAATAGAAGAATTATTTATTTATATATTAATCGATTGAAATTAGTGAAATTCGCAAAATTTAATAAATTATTTACATATTCCATATTATTTATAAAATAAAAAATAAATTAATATATATTTATATTTTTCTTTTATTAATAATTAATTTTAAAAATATTAATTTATTATTATATATTTAATATGAATTATCTATAAATATATTAATAAATAAATATATAAATATATAAATATATATATATATTTGTATTAATATATATATTATTTTTTTATACAATGTTAATTTAAATTAATTTATAAAAATGATATTAACTAATTCATTTTTTTAAAAAAAACAAACCAATAATTTAATATATCAATTCTTCATGAAATATTTCTATCTATTTTATTTTTTAAAAAAACAAGATTTCTAATGTTATTATTTTCATTAAAAAAAATTATTACGTTTTTTAATAAAAGTTATATAATTTAAGTTTTTTTTATGACTTTAAATAATTAAATATATAAATTATAATAGTTAATCTTTACAAAATTATAATGTACATCTACTAGTAATTATATTACCTCGAACATTTATTATTATATAAATACAAATAATTTTTTATAAATTTTTTTCATTTATAAAATTAATAAAAGTATTTTTACTTTATATAAAATATGATATTTCTTATTTTTAAATTAAAATAAATATAATCTATAAAACAAACAAAAAAACTAAATAAAAATAATATTTTGTAATCATAATAAAATATCATTTATCAATATTAGAATTAATTTTTTTTTTTAATATAAAATTAATTCTTCATATAAAAAATAACCTATCAAAATATTTGTAATAATATGTCTTAGGATTAAAATAAAGAAATAACAATTTTTAAAATATTGAGAAATTATTTTATCATATAAAATATAGAATAGTGTTTCAATATTTAGATATTATTTTTGTGAAATAATAAAATATTTTAAAATAAAAAGAAAATAAAAATTAATAATAACTTTAATTTAAATATATAATTTAGATTAAAAAAATAAATATAAAAATGTAAAAAACCTTATCAAAATTAGAAGAAAAAATCCTTTTATTCAAACAGAAAATATGATAAATAAATCGAATTTTATACCAAAATATAGCAGAAAAATTATTGATTTCTAAAAATCATGAATTTACAGCGACTAAAAACATATAAAAGGTGCTTACTTTTTATGGTAATATTGTGAATATATAGTATTAGAATTCGGTTAATTTAAATTAATGAGGATATGATAATATGCTGGAAAAAGCCAGGTTTTCAAATAGATGTTTTATTAAGCTTTTATAAATTTAGAAAGCTTAAATAATTCAAGTTTATTAAATTAACTAATATTTAATAGATTATAAAAAAATCTTTAAAATTTGTTCAGTAATAAAAACGAAGTTTTTAGTTACTAAAGTTCTTTTATTATTGTTAAATAAATTTATAAATAAGTAATTAAATATTTAATTTTTTTTAAGTATTTCCCTTTAAGAAATAATTATTAAGTTCTGTTAAAAAATTGGTTATGAAAATTAAGCATTGATCTTTTACTTTTAAAAAAAATATAAAAAAAATTTATAAAATTTTTGATGGCTTAAATGTTCGAATAATTATTAAAGTACTTATTCTTTATTTAGGATTCGCTTTGGTGACTATTATTTTTTTGATTTTCATTTATTCAATGAATAAATATAAAAAATTATTAATGATCAAATCTCAAAGAAGTTAAAAAAAAAAATTATTAAGAATATTTTATTTTAATAATTAAAAGAATATTTAATTGAATAACTAGAAGAATATTTAATTAAATAATTAGAAGAATATTTAATTGATTAATTAAAACAATAGTAACATTATGCCTAAAAATTTTTACTTAATTATATTTTTATTTAATAAATAAATTTAAATAATATTTATATAATATGTGTATAATTTTTGTTTATAGTTAAAACTTTAATATCTTATTATTTTATATTAAAGCTATTTTTAATCTTTATTCATATTATAAAAATCTAAAACTTTAAAAATTTAAAGATATTATAAAAATAAAAATAAAAAATAAAAAATTAAATCTAAAAAAAAAATTGTAATAAAATATATATTTTTAATTAAAGAATAGAAAAATGGATCTTATTAATACAGGTGTATTATTATTTTAATATTACCATAAAATGTACTTAGAGCCATTAGACGAACTAGTACTTCCAATAGACAATAAATTCTAACAATTAATTGATAGTCTTGAAATAGTAAAAAATAAAATATAAAAAAAATAAAAAAAAAAAAATTAGTTAAGTCTTGATCAATTAAAATTTCTTTTTAGTTTAATTATTGGAATGCCCCTTGGTTGGATTTTATACTTTATAAGAAATCCCATAATCCGTCACATCTATTCGACTATAACAGGTATTTTGTTAGCCTTTTTCGTATACAAAAGTGCTATATTATCAGTTATAATATACACCATATCATGCTATATCTTGTGTTCATTCTTAGGAAAATCAAGTGGAAGAATAGTATTCATATACAGCATGATATATTTATCAATACATCACCTGTACAGATAAATCGTAGAACCAGGTAAATGGAAAATGGAGATAACATCCTCCCTTATGATGTTATTTTGCAAATGTACATCAATAGCATTTTGTTATTCGGACGGGTTTTAGATAAAAGAAAATAAATTAGAAATGCTATCAAAAGATTAACAATAAAAAGCTTTATAAAAATTACCGAATTTCTTTTCTTTTTTCTCTTTCGTGAATTTTTTAGGATCTACTATATCTGGTCCAGTATTCGATTACTTTGATTTTGATAATTTTATAAATTTAAAAGGTAATTTTTCCAATATACCGCTCCCTATAGTAAATTCTCTACAAAACTTTTTAATTTCGCTTTTTTATTGCATTATTGCGGCGATTATTTTGCCTTATTTTGATCCCTTTTTTTTATCTTCTGATGAATTCGGGCATCTTCCTTTTATTTAAAAGCTTTTAGTTTTAAATATTACAATAATCCTTATAAGAATAAGATACTATGGAGGCTGGCTTTTAATCTAGGCCGCATGTGCGTCTACAGGAATTACCTGGAATTAAAAAACTGGAAAATTCGATTATATAGTAACAGTGTATGAAAGTCATGAATTTACACACGAAATAAGAGTTAGAGTCGAAAAATGGAATCACACAGTTTAAATTTGGCTCAAAAGATATATATATAACAGAATATATTTAGAAGAAGAATATAAAAAAAGCAAAGCTAAAGCACAATATGCATAAAATGTCACATTTTTTATAAGTGCTTTATGGCATGGTTTCTACCCAGGATATTTTATGTCATTTTTATAATGGTCTATTCTTATTTCTGTCTGTAAATTCGCGTTTAAGGCTTCTTGTAATAAGTAAAACTTATTTAAAAAGTTAGAAAAACTTGGATTTGTGTATGTTTTGGTTAGGTGGATGATTGTTAATTTTACTTTTAATACTTTTGCAGTTGGATTTGTGGTTTTAAGTGCGGATAATACACTTAGGTTTACGAAAAATATTGGCTGGGTATTCTAAGTTGGATGCGGATTAGCTTATTTATTCTTTATAATTACTGGATTTGGGTAAAAGGAATAAAAATAAAAAGAAGATGTTAAGTAAAAAGAAGAAATTATAAAAAAAGAAGATTGAAATATTTTTTAATTATTAAATTTATGTTTTTATTTTAAAAATTATAAAAAAAGAAGATTGAAATATTTTTTATTTATTAGATTTATGTTTTTATTTTAAATAAATTTGTTTTTTAGATTAAAATATTTTTTAAAAATAGTAAATTTTTAATCTTAAATATAATAAAATTTATATATAAATATATATATTTATATATATATATATATATATTATTTTAAAATAAATATATTTTTTTATAAATGTTAATAAATTTATAGTAAAAATTAATACATTTATTTTAAAAATTAATGATTTACTTAGATTTTAATTTGTTTAATTAATCGGTTTCTAATATATAAATTTTAAAATAAACATGATATAATATTTATTTGTTTTTAATAATACACATAATATTTTAATATTATTTATATAAAAATAAAATATCTTCATTTTATTAAAATAGTAAATTTATAATTTTTACAATATTACGTTCTTTATAGATAACAAGTATTATTAAGCATAATTAATATTTCATTTTATATATAAAAAAAAAAAAATAAGAACAATTAGAAATAAATATAGGAATTATATATAATATAATAATTAAATATAAAGATTTATTTTAAAAATATTAAATAAATAATAGTATTTATTGTAAATAAAATATATTTATTTAAAAAAAAGAAAATTATATTATATAATAAAATTATTATAAATCTAAATAAAAAAATAAATGAGTAGAAATAACTCTGGTAACCTTTATAAGAACACGAAAAAAATGTTCTTTCAAAAACACATTTAAGAGAAATACTAAAAGATAACGAAAGAAACAAGGTAAAAAAAAGACATAAAAATAAATAAATTAAAAATAATAAAAAACAGTAATTAGTTTTTGAACATAATAATATTGTCTTAGATTTAACTCATGAGAAAAATAGACACAAAAGTATTGATTTATTTGAAGAATTAGCCTAAAAAGCTGGTTTATATGAAAGTATTAACCAAATGTTTACAGGAGTAAAATTAAAATATATAAAAAAATAAACAATCTAAAAAATAAAAGGAAAAAATAAACACTACAGAAAAAAGATCAGTTCTACACACAGCCTTAAGAGCCTAAAAAGACCAAAATATTATAGTTGAAGGTAAAAATATAGTATAAGAAGTGCATTAAGTCCTCGAAAACATTGAAAAATTCGTCTCAAAACTAAGATCTGGAGAATTAAAAGGATTAAGAGGAAAAAATATAAAAAATATAGTAGTAATAGGAATAGGTGGATCTTATTTATCAATTGAATACGTATATTAAGCATTAAGAACAAACCCTGAATCATAAAAAAAATCATAAGGAAGAAAACTTATGTAAATATATATAAATATATATATATATATATATATATATATATAATTTATATATATATATCTTTATATTTATATATTATAATTAAAAAGATTTCTTGCAAATGTAGATCCTATCGATTTTGCGAGAGCTATTGAAGACATAAATTCTGAAGAAACAATGTTTGTTATAAACTCAAAAACATTTACCACTGCAGAAACAATGTTAAATGCTAGAACATGTAGAAATTGGTTAGTTGAAGAGCATAAGAAACTTGGAGAAATTTTAGATTCAGAAGACTAAATAAAAAATTTAGTTAATCATCACATGTGTGCTGCTTCTACGAACATTACTGACACATCCAAATTCGGAATTTCTGCAGAAAAAGTTTTCGGCTTTTGGGATTGGGTAGGAGGTAGATATTCAGTCTGGAGTGCAATCGGAATGTTGCCTTTATCATTTGTTTTTGGTTATGATTACATGGTATAATTTTTAGAAGGAGCTCATGACATTGATAATAATTTTATTAATAATAAATAAGTAAGAAAAAATTTACCCTTATTACTAGGTTTAGTAGGATTTTATAATACTGCGATCAAAAATTATAATTCAAGAGCTATTTTACCTTATTGCTAGGCTTTGTGTAAATTTGTACCTCATGTATAATAATTAGATATGGAATCTAATGGAAAAAGAGTTAATTTAAAAGGAGAAACCTTAGATTATTAAACTACAGTTGTTAATTTTGGAGAACCAGGAACTAATGGTATTCTAAATATAATTTTTATTTTTATATTAAATATAATAATAGGATAACATAGTTTTTATTAATTACTACATCAAGGAAGAGAAATTCCTTGCGAATTCATTGGATACGCTAAATCTTAATATCCCATTATGTTAAATTCAGAAATAGTAAGTAATCACGAAGAATTAATGAGCAATTTCTTTTCTTAAGTAATATATTATTTTATTAAATATACATATATATTTTTTTAAATAAAAATATTATTTTTTAAATAAAAATATATAAACAAATATATTCAATAGCCTGATGCACTAGCTTATGGAAAAACAATTGAAGAATTAAAAAATGAAAAAGTCCCTGAAGAACTTCTTGGACATAAATTCTTCCCAGGAGACAGACCATCTTTATCATTTTTATTTACAGAATTAAATCCTTATACTTGTGGTTAATTATTGGCTTTATACGAGCACAGAACAGCAGTTGAAGGTAAAAATATTTTTATATTATATAAAAAATAAATTAATAAAGGATATTTATGGGATATTAATAGCTTTGATTAATGGGGAGTTGAATTAGGAAAAGTTCTTGCAAAACAAGTAAGAACATTATTTTAGAATAACTAAGGAAAAAAGATGCCGATTTTACAGGAACAAACTTTAATTCTGCAACATAACATTTACTAAAAAGATTTATATAATAAAGATGAATTAAAAAATAATAAATATATTTTAATAATTATTTATTTATTATTATATTAATTTTTTTTTTTTTTCAATTTTCAATTTTCAATTCCAAATTCTGCTTCAGTACCTACAATATTAAGACAAACTTAAAAAAATAATTTATCTTCGGATATTTATTCCTTATATGCGATTTGTTTGAGTTTTTAAAACTTTTCGTTATATTCAGTATCTGTTACAAATTTTTTAGCAATTTTATTAATTTTCATATTTTTTTTCTTGCTTTTTTGTAATTTTTATTATTATTAGTTATTAATATCTTATAGAATTAAATTTTATTGCTTTAAACTACTATTTTCACTCTCTTCATTTTCTTAAAATAAATTTTTATTGTTTCCAATCTGAAAAATTTATTATTTTTTTGTTTCACTTTCTGTTCTTAATGTATTTTCCTATAAAATTTATTCAGAAATATTAGCGTTTTCTTTATTTGAATTATTTTATTCACTTTCTTGATTTTTATATTAATTCAAAGAAATTTTATTTTTAATATTTTCTTCATTTTTTTAGTTTACTATAATATCTTAACGGCATATTTATTTTTAAAATTTTTTTTTTATTGCAATTGTACTTTCATTTTGAATATGAATAATATATATTAATCCTATTCCTATAGAACCTATAATTAAAAAAGGGATATTTCTATATATTGAAAATTTGTTAGGAAAAAATTAGAAAACGTTTTAAATTATTGTCATATGATATAAATATATATATATAAATATTTATATTTATATTATTTTTATATTTATTTTTAATTTTTATTTTTTATTTTAATTATTAATTTCAAATTTATTTAATTTTAACTATTTTTTTTTGAAATTTCTTAAATTAAGCCTACTTAAAATTATGAATTTCTATTTTTTTTTTTGTTAATTTTTATTTATAATTGATAAATAATTTAATTATTTAAAGTCTATTTATTAAAAAAATAGAAAGTTATAAATTAATTATTAAAAATATTATATTTGAACAAAATATTATAGACAGTTAATTATTATTGATTTAAAATTATTTGTCTTTTTTTATATATTAATTTAAATTATTATTATTTTTACTTTTATATAATTAATATTATTTTGTTTTTTTATTAAAAATAAATAAAATGAATAAAAAGCCTAACCAAATTTTATTTAATAAATTCAATTTTAGTAAAAATGCAAGCAATCAAATTAATATAGAAAATAATAAAATCAATTAAAACATTCGTACATTAAACCAAGAAGCATTTAAAAAGGAATAAAACACAGATAAATAAAAAAATCTTTATTAAAATTTTCAAGAAAATTTTTAAAATTTCGATCAAGAATTCATTTAAGATGATTAATGTAATCTTAATTTTAAATATTGCTGAGTATTAATTATTTATTTTTAGTATTCAACTAAATCCCGGTATTAAGAGAACTTATTTTATTATCAGAATCAAATTAAGACGGTTTTATTAATCTTAAAGATTTTTGTAACCTTCTTTTAAAATTTTAAATTAATGTGAATAAGGTATTTATATTTAATAAATATATATATATATATATATATATATATATATATATATATATATATATATATATATATATATATATATATATTTAATTTTCAAATTTTTTAAATATAAAATTTATTAATAAAAATAAATTAAAGGAAGATGCTTAAAAAATATTCAATAAAATATGTGGTAGATAACTATAAAATAACTGCACATACGAATGTATTTACTATATACATATATATATATATATAGATAATAATTATTTCTATTTTAAAAATAAACAGAATTCATTCTTTTTTTCAGTAAAGATTTGAAAGAAATAAATCTTTCAGAAATTTCTGTACCTGAGTTTATTCTAAGGCTACGTAAAAAATTATTAATTATATAAAATAAAATAAAAATAAAGTTCTTTAAATATATAGAATAGTTGGATAAGATAAAATAGAAATAGAACTAAATGATGTTATAAATTATACAAAATAACACAAAATATTAGATATAGATTTAGTAAAAATAACAATAAAGAATAAAAACACAATATATATAAAAAAAAAGATGTAATTATTAGAAATGTTTTAATTTTGTACAGACGTATATTCCGGAACCTTAAAAAAGAAGCAAAATATATTAAGTTTTTTTTAAAGTACAGTTCCTTCTTTAATATCTTCTATAAAGGAAAATTTTATATTAGAACTTTAAGATTTGATATCAAATTTAAAGACAAGTGAATGCTCAAATTAAGACATGAAATTAAAAATATACGATTATAAACGAGAAATATAATAAATTCATAAAAAAGTTATAAGCTAAGTTGAAATGAATTTTAGAAAATAAAACTTATAAACACTTCAGGATAAAAAAAACTTTAATTTAAATTTTGAAATATAAATAGTAGATGATATAAATAACCCAAATAATTATATAGAAAATGAAATCGAAGATTATTTTTTAGAAAATAAACCAAAATATAAAGGTTGGTTATTAAGAAAAAGTAAAAAATACGAAAAAAAATGGTCAAATTTATTCATATATATAAATAATGAAAATTCAGTATTAATTTCTTTGAAACCCACAATATTAAAGGTAAATATTATTTATTTATATTAATAAAAATATTAATTTAAAAAAAAAATATTTTTAGAAAGAAATAGAATGTGAAAATATGGAACTTTATTAGTGCATATTTTTAGAGGTTTTAGATAATTTTGAATATAAGTAAATAAAAAGTGATAGAAAAAATAACAAACTATTATAATCAATAAATGGAAACGATAAATATTTAAACACTTTTTCAAATGATTATAATAAAACATCTTTTTTTGGATAAAAAGGCGGGTTATAAAATGAAAATAAGCTATTCTTTATTTACGATAAGAAAAATAATAAAACATATTTAATTCGTTCTTAAGAAAGTTTAGTTATTTTAAGCATTATATAGTTTTATAATAATAACCAGGAAAAAAATAATATAAGTAATTAATAAGAAGTATTATTATCAGAGTATACAGGAGCTATAGAAATAGCAGTATGTAAAAAAGACTAAATAAACTAGATTTATACGAATTTTAAAAAGTTTACTTTTAGATAATATTTTATAATTATAAAATAAGGTAAAATTTTTATTTTAAATAATATAGAAAGTATATATAATTTTTTTTTATTAAAAAAATATTTATAATTATATATATATAAAAAAGGAAAATTTATCATATATAATGCAAAAATAAAAGACATGATTAATTTAATAGAATATGATTTAAAAATAGACTAAAAAATTTAATTTTTACCTTCAAATCCATTTACATTTATATTCGAAAAAAAGAAAATAGAAAATGAAATTATTTTAGAATAAAAATAATAAGAAAACAATTCTTAATAATCTTCAGTTGTAATATTTAATACTTGTTAAGAAAAAAAGGAAAAAAATAATGATTAAAATTATAAAAATAATGAATATTTTATGAATGAAGAACTTAAAATATAAAAAAAAAATATAAAAAATGAAAAAAGTGAAAGCTTTTTACAAAAAATAAAAAAATAAATTCAAAAAGTTAAAATTGATAAATTAATTCTTGCAGCAGATTCTGAATATAAAAGAAAATAATGGATTTTCACTTTTAACTTTCATAAAACAATGCAATTGAATATAAGGAAAAAAGAAAAATTTAGTTTCAATTTAAATTATAAAAACAGTTTTTAAATTAATTATCCGAACTTTTTAACATAATAAAGTGATTAATAAATAGGAAAACAAAAACTTAATTTCACATAGAAAGAAAAATAGGATAATAATAATAATAATAATAATAATAATAATAATAATAATAATAATAATAATAATAATATTAATTCTGATTATTATAATATTTTTGCTTACAAAGATAAAAGAAATGAATTTTTAAAAGAAGTAAAAGAAGAAAAATATGAAGAATCTTTTAAAAAAGAAATAAAAGCAAGAAAATTATTAAATTTTACTCCAACTAATGCAAATAATTAACAAATTTAAAATAAATTAATATAAAGAAGTAAAATATAATAATAATAATAAAAAAATTTATAAAAAAAAAATAGACACAGATGATAATTTTTATACAATAAATTTTAATTAAGGTAAAAATAATAACCTATTGAAAAAAATAGAATTAATAAATAATAATTAAATACTTCTTTTAAATACTAAAGAAATTCGTTCATATAGTCCAGAGGAAATCTGGTAAAAATTCTTGAGACATTTTCTTCAAAGTAACCATAATTACGTAGAAATAAGTACGGCTACATTTACTACTAAATCAAGCATTTAAAATAAAAAAAATTTAAATAAAAGTGAAGAATTTATTGATATTTAAGAATATATAGATGAGAAAAAAGACTAAAAAATTAAAAATCGTTTGGTTTTTGTACATAAACAAATATGATTTTCATCATATATATATATATATATGAAATATTTGTATATTAGTATAAATATATAGATTAATATTATATAAATATGTAAATATATATGTTATATATATTTTTATTTTCTTTTATAATTTATAAAATATATTTTTTAAATAAATTAAATATAAATAAATAATTATTAAAAAAATAAAAATGGCTTAAGCAGATAGAAAAGCTGTAATTAAAAACGCAGATATGTCAGAAGAAATGTCTTAAGACGCCATAGATTGCGCAAACCAAGCTTTGGAAAAATTCAATATAGAAAAAGATATTGCCGCCTTTATTAAAAAAGAATTCGATAAGAAATATAATCCAACTTGGCATTGTATTGTAGGTAGAAATTTCGGATCTTATGTAACTCATGAAACGAAGCATTTTATTTACTTTTATATGGGACAAGTAGCTGTATTATTGTTTAAATCTGGTTGAGAATAAAGACATTAAATTTGAAAAATATTTATTTATATATATATACAAAAGTAAAAGAAGGAAAAAAAAAAACATATATATATAAATATAATATATATATAAATAAAAAAATAAGTTATATATTTTATTTTTTTTTAATTAAAAAAAATTTTTTCAAAAAAAATAAAAAAAATCAAAAAAATCAAAATAATATATAAATAAAGATCTACTTTTTTTTTTCAATATTTTAATGGATTTAATGTTTATGAAACTCCATGTCCTATTTTTAATTAAACTAAATTATCTTTTTTGACTTTATAATAGACTTTTTCATATTAATTCTACTTTTTCTCACTTTATATTATAGCACGTCTTTAATTTAATTTCTTTATAAAAGGTTTTTCTAAATTTCCTATTTTTTGAGTTGGTAAAGGATTATCAAATTTTTGATTTTTAATGTTTTCTATCCATTCAATTTTACATTTTCCTCTTCTTTAATCTTATTAAGCTAATTATTTATAAAAATAAAATATATTTTAGTTTTTTTATACATAAAAATCTTATTTCTTTTAATTATTATTTGTCACCAATAATCATTCTTTTAGGTTCCTTTTTTTATTTTTTAAATAATAATTAATCATTTTTTAGATAAACTCTTAAATTTATTTACCCTTAATTAGTTTACATTAGGAACAATAATTTCAAACTAAAAATTATTATCGTATTTTTCTTTATTATTTCCAAAAATATCTAAATTAGATTTAAAATTATTTATTGTATTTACAGATGCTTCAATGCGTTTATTATAATAAAATTTGTTAATATTTTAACACCAATTAGGAGTATCATTAGAAACAACTCTTTATTAATTAAAAAAAATAAAAAAATATAAATATATATAAAAATAAACTAAAAACTTCATATTTCTAATTTTAGGTTAATTTTATAAATCATTATTTATTCCCAAAAGTGGTCTTGTAACATAATTATGATTACTTGCAATGTAAAATAAGTTTTACTTTTAATTTTTAGAATCTAAACTTTTTGTATTATTAAATTAATTTTTATTTATAATTTTTCCTTAGGAAACTGAATTATCTGGTCTTTTTGCTATACTAACATAAAATAAAAATAAAAATATTTTTTTTTTCTACTTTTAAAATAAATATTGTTTTTTTAATCTCCAGTTTGATAAATGTTAGCATTCTAGTTTATTTTACATTCTTGGATCATCGAACCCATTAATGCATTTATTAGTATTTTAATTTTAATCTTATTGCAAAAAATTTTGATAAAATTAACTTTTATATTTAGAATATATAATATTAAAAAATAAATTTTGTAAATCTTGAAATTTTACTTATTTTATCCATAATTACTATTTTATAAATAAAAACTATTTGAATAATGTTTAAGGTCATGTATTTAAGCTGATTATTTAAAATTATGTTAAAATTAATCTAAATAATTTCTCTATTCTATTTTGGATCCATCGCCCTTTTTAATTTAATTGAATTTATCTTAATTAAGAAATAATATATATATATACAGCAGAAGCTTATATTTATTTAAATCTTTAAGATTTTTTATCAGGATAAAATTATTAACCTGTAGCAAAAAAGGCTAACATAAATTTTTATAAAAAATTTATAAAATATCATAAATATAATATAAAAATATATAAATATATATATATTCTTATATATATATATATTTATATTTTTTTATTTTTGTTATTATATTATTTTTATTAATATTTTGCATTTAATTTATTTTGATATAATATTTATTTTTATAAAAAATTAAAAACTACAATTATTAACCAATTATTTAATTTTTTTTTTTTCCAAAATAAAAAAATCATATTTATAATATATTTTTTTATATTATTTTTAATGCATTTTTTTATTTATTTATATTTTTTTTTTTTCAATTATCATTTATTTAAAAAATCCTTTTTTTTATATACTATAAAAATTCTATTATTATTTCACAAAATTATATGTTCATAATAACATTTTTTTTTAATTGAAAAAAGCTTTTAAAAAAATTATTCAAACACCAAATTTAAAGATTTTTAAAAATTAAGTAAATATCTTATGAAAGCCATAACTACTGCTGATAAAACAAAAGGTTTTTTTCTAAAAAAGAATAAATAATAATAAAAGCAAAAAAAATATAAAAAAAAGAACGTCTTAAAATGAACCGAGAAGTAATAATGTCAAAAAAAGAAAATCAAATAAACGCATTAACGGACGAAGATTTAATATATTAATTAAAGTAAAAAGCTCTTCCAGTATTTGGAACACGCTAAGAAAAATTAGACAGATTAAAAAAAGCAAATGGTAAAATTAAACTTAATACTTTTAAACCTAAAAAACAATATATATATATATATATATAAATAGGAATAATATCTTCAATATAAAATAACATACCTGAACTTAAAAAAAAGCCGTCTAAAAATATATCTACAGTTGAAAAAATTTAACAAATGGAAAAACGCCGAGAAGAGCGTCGTTCCAAAATGATAGAAGCAAAACGTGACAAAGAAGAAAAAATGTTAGAAAATTAAATAAGTGGTAGAAACGTAGACATAGATTTTTAATAATTAATTAAAAAGAACATTTTTATATAAAATCCACTCCCACATACTCTTTCATCTAATTTAAAATTATGCGTATGTGTTAGAAAGCGCCCTTTATTTGATTATGAAAATGATGAAATAGATAATATTTCTGTTCAAAATCCTCTAATAAGAGTTTTAGCCCCCAAATATCGAGTAGATGGCGTCACTAAATATATAGAAAATTACGATTTTAATTTTGATAATACTTTCAGCGAAAAGGATGGCACAGAAACCCTTTATAATTATTCTCTTAAACCTTTATTATATCATATTTTAAATTCAGGAACTATTACCTGCTTTGCATATGGATAAACGGGTTCTGGAAAGACTTATACAATGAAAGGAATATAGGAAATGTTTATAAGAGATTTATATTAATAAAATTAAGACGGAAAGAATTTTTTTTTTTTATCATTTTTTGAAATATATGGAGGAAAGATATTTGATTTATTAAACAATAAATAATAATTAGCTATTTGGAGGATAAATAAGGGAAAGTCTAAATTAATGGAATAGTAGAAAATAATGAATAAACTTTTGAAGAAATGCTTAAATTAATTGACTATGCAAATGCAATAAGAACGTAAATTAAATTATTTTGTAAAAAAAAAAATATATGAATAATATTTAATTTTATTTTATGAATAACTTAAGTTTATATATATATATATATATATTTATTTATTTATTAAAAAATAATTAAGAACTCATGCAACTACTTCAAATGATACATCTTCACGATCTCATGCTATATGTAAATTAATCATTAAAAACGAAAAAGGTTAAAAATAAGGCCAATTAATTCTAGTAGATCTCGCAGGTTCTGAAAGAGCGTAGGATTGTTAAAGTAATGATAAAATAAGAAGATTAGAAGGTTCTGAAATAAATAAAAGGTATTTTATTTATATAATTATAATTTTATTTTTAATCTAAAATAAATAAGCTTATTAGCACTTAAAGAATGTATAAGATATATGGAAGCTGGAGCTTCTCATATTCCTTTTAGAGCTTCGAAATTAACAATGGTTTTGAGAGATTCATTTTAATAAAAAAATAATAAATCTAAAATTGTTATGATTGCATGTGTTTGTCCTTGTCATACTTCAGCAGATCATACAGTTAATACATTAAGGTTATATTTTATATATATATATATATATATATATATATATATATATATATATATATATATATATATATATATATATATATATATATATATATATATATATATATTTAGATATGCAGATAGATTAAAAGAAAAATAGTCAACTTAAGATATTCTATTTGATGATGGAAATAATAATTTAAATGACCTTTCTTTAGAATAAGCATAAATATAAAAAAATGATGAGTTTTTTAATTATAATGAAAATGATATTAATAATGATAATTTTATTACAGGTTAATTTAAAAATGAAATTATTGATTATGAAGATGACGAAGTGGAATTAGAAGATGATGATATTAATATAAGACATGAAGATTAAGTTTTGTTTAATAATTTTTAATAAAATGTAAATAATGGAAAAGAAATTATTTAATCAAATGAAATTTATTAATAAAAAAGTATATAATTTTCTGATGATTCTAAATCTAATTTACCTATTAATTAAAATTAATAAATTATTATTAACTCATATTAAGAAAGTTTGGAAGTAAATAAAAGTTTAGATGATTAAGAACAATAAATTTTAGAAATATTAAATGTAAATTGTGTTAATGAGCAAGAAACAAATTCATATATTGAATAATTGGAAAATATAGTTAAATAAAAGTTAAATATATATAGTATTTTGCATTAAAAAATAGAAACTTATAAGTATAAAAAATATATTTATAAATATTAATTTTTTTTTATTTTTTATTTTTTTTAGGAGAATATAAAAATAATAATAAAAATGAATATTTTTATATCTAATTATATATTTTTTTTTTTTTAATTAAAATTAATTTATTTTATTTAAAAAAAAAAAAAAAATATATACATTACATTAAATTGAATTTATTAATATATTTTTATAAAAAATATAAAAAAGAAAAATATTTATTAAAATTAAAAAATAAAAAAATGCGTTAAATTTTATATTATATATGATTAAAAAAAATATTATTTATTATTTTAAATGAAAAGATTTATAAATTTAAAAAAATTGTAAATGTAGTAATTTAAAAATGTAAATATGTGTTTTTAAAGAAATAGTATAAAAATAATTAAATTATAACTGAATATAATAATATTTAAAGGCTATATAATTATATAAAAATAAAATTAAATAAATAATACATATATATAAAACATATATTTATTTTTTAACTATAAATTTAGAATAGTAAGCAAAAATAAATAAAATTAACAAATAACATATTTATTTATATTTTTTATTTTCCAATTAAATAAAATATATTTTCAAACATTTTATTGTTAATTTCTAAATCTTTATACATAAGCCTATATTAATCTAAATAAAGATTCTCTTTAAGATTCATTTGTTTATTTATTTTATTTTTCTTAAAAGAAATATTTATCTATTGATAATAATTATATTTTATCTAGTAATTTATTAAGACTTTAAATTTTTAGCTTTTTAGTTTATCTTCTCATACTAATTAGTAATTTATAGTTAATATCTTTATTTTATTAAACTATATTTTTAACAATTTATATTAAATAGTATTTCTTTATATTTTAAATTCTTAAATTTTTATTTCTTTTTCATATGTTTCTTATATTAGAATTATCTTTTCACTTTCAGATTTTGATTAGGGTTCTTAATACATATTTTTCTATACTATTTATTATTAATCAAATGTATTATTTTATTATTATTATTCTATAATAAGCTATCCCATTTTAATAAAAATAAATAATTTATATATTATAATTTTTTTTAGTATTTTTTATGGTAAAAAAATTTATTTTATAAAAAAAAAAAAAAAATAAAAAAAGAAAATTAATTTTTTAATTTTATTTAAAAAAAATAATTTTTAAGGATTTTATATTTCAATTATATTTTTCAATTTAATCAACTATTTAATTTATTATTTATGCAATTTTTTCATTTGAGTTGTATTTATGTTAAGAAATAAATTTTTCTATTTACTTATTTTATAAATATAAAATTGTTTTATGATCTTTTATTATTAAATAATATATTCCTTCTAAAAAAAACAATAAATAATCGATTTCTATATTTTAATTAAATTATTCTAAATATAAATTTATTACTTCTTCATTTTAAAATATTTAATGTATAATATTTTAATCACATTAAATAAAAATATAAGAAAAAACAATCAAAAGCATTTATTTAATCTGTAAAATTATTAAAAGTAATATAGTATAGATAAAAAAAATAATTAAATTTATATATATAATAAGAAAAATAAAAATAAAAATAAATATTAAAAATTTAAATAAAAAAATATAAAAAAATATAAATAAATATATATATATATATATATATATATATATCTTATATTTACCTGTTCATTTTATATTTAATAATTTTAAATTAAATATTAAAAGTATTAACTTTCAACAAAGTCATCTATAAATAGTCTATTTGACGA